AAAAAAAAATATTAAAATGAAAAAACGATAACTACAGCAACACGTATGCTTTATTTATGTCACCATGTTATTTAACTTTTTGAAAACACGCCAAGCGTTAGATTTGAATATTTCTTTAGAGACACCAGGCGACCAACATTCCGCCACTGTCATCTACTCTTCCTCTTGTAGACATAACAAAAATACAACTTCAGAGCGCGAAGTAATGAATTTCTTTTTCCTGGTGAAAACAATACCTGAAATTTACTTATTATCAAATGGAATAGGAAGACCCTATAAACCGACAAAATAAGGGAATTTTAGTTGAACTGAGGAACGACAATATTCTTTCTTAATTAACTCAACGTAAGGTAATGTCATGGAATTAACAAACTGGATCATGCTATCACTTCCTGCTCTCATACACAGGTGTACGATTACTTTATGCGCCAAACAAACGTAGGGAGAGCGTTAAAAAAAGCTTGGCAATGCGTTGCTAGCTTCTTCACGGAACATAAGAACATATATGTGTCTCTTGGCTATAATGTGAAAAACAGGAAAAAAGTAAGGCAAAAATTATATTGAAATATGTAAACAGTTTTGAATGAGGTATTCTAATGGACTACTACCAAAGCACAACCGTATGGTCCTTTAAAGACAATGTTATGGTCATATTTATCAACCACTGCTTTCTGCTGTGTTGACATGGTAAGGAACTCGCTCCATTCCATTTGGACCATGCCGTTGAAGAGTGGATTTTTCCGCTTTACGTGACTAAATATTGGATGGTAGTATATGTATTAGAGAAGTCGGCGTTGAAAATCAGCTGACTGGTTTGATTGTTACGACCTTTTAGTCGACGATCCACATGCTTAACAATAATGTTATTTGGCTCAGTTCTGTATTTCTGCGCAAAATCTTCCCCACAGCCATAGCACTTTCTGACAGCTTTGGGTCGAGCACAAAGCGTGTAAGGATAAGGCGACATTCCCGAGTGCCATGGTACACCACTCAAAGGTTGCGGAACTTGTTGACTTGCAGTAGATGGTGGCTGAAATGTTGAGTGGACACTGCCTGTTAGTTGCAATGAAGACTGCTCCGACTGAAAACCAGGGACTGTTGAGTGTAGAAATGACGGGTCAGTGAAATTTGGTGTCGTCTGTAACGGATGGCTGTTGAGAGTTGCTGATTGTGAAGCTGACTGCCCATAGAGTGTATATTGCACTTGCTGGTAATGCGGCCATGGCGGGCCCCTCGTGTGTGTTTGTTGTGAAGCAACCGGAGGAAAAGGAGAATTCAACGTTGGCATACTCCATGCTGACTGGTTCACAAATGGCATTGAGGTTGTCTGTTCCGGCCAATCTATTGTACTTTCATTGGCATCAGGGAAAAACTCATCTTGTACCATGCTTGTAGACGGCATTGTTGCATCAGGGCGACTGGATAAGACTGGTCTCTGAGACGAGGTGGCAGGGTTAAGTACACTTGACAAGGACTTTTGACTTGGTTGTTGTTTTCGTGTTGCTGCTTTGCGGACTTCGTTTTGCTTCAGACCCTTTTCTGAAACTTTTAGACCAGTTTCGATGGCTGCGGTGAGGTTCACGCCAGCAATGCCTTTGGATACCTTCTTTCTCAAGTTTTGACGAAGGGCATACAAATATTCGAAGAGGATTCCTTGGTCGTCGGCAACAGCAACTGTGTCGGGGCATATCTCAAGTGCTCTGTATGTGCTGCAGACACACTGGAATAAGTCACTCTTTTTACCCAAGGGCTTCACGATGACTGGGTCTCCACCGTCCTTACTTTTCACAGTTCTCAATCTCTGGTCGTTAGACGCCGTCTCTTTTATGGCTCCTTCCTCATTGATGAGAAGTTCTGCTTTTTTAAAGATAGCTTTCAAGGTGGCTGTTGGAATGCACTTTTCTGGTATAGAAGATTCGTGAAACTTATGCTAAGATGCTTGGGTAGAGGCGATTGCGTACCAGTGACGTCGTCTTCTGTGCCATTCGATCTCGGACCTTGTAAACTCGACGTGGTTTCATTGCCACAGAGCCAAATAAAACGGTCATGTGATATTTATGACTATTCTTATAATCGTTTTGTTTTAAACTTATCTTTAGTATTTTGGGTTTCCTTTCATTCCACATGCAATCTGCAATGTATAGTCCACACTGTAAGTTTTTAAACATCTCGAAAAGAGAGAGAGAGAGACGGCGGGTAGGGGGGGGGGGAGGGGCGGTAGGGGGAAGTACAAAGAGGAGACGCACGTTTTCCAAAGTCAATAAAAATTATCAGATTTTTTCTTGGAAGATATTTCAAATCATGCGCTGCGCGTTCACACAGTAAATAACTTCAGTTTTCGTGAGTAAGTCGTAATTTGATGAACTATTGTGAAAATGACTCCGTAATGACGTCATAATAACAGCACTGAGACATTTTGATTAAATCTCACTCGTGGTCACTCGTGGTAACTCGCGGTCACTCGCGGTCACTCGTGGTCACTCGTGGTCACTCGTGGTCACTCGTGGTCATTCGTGGTCACTCGTGGTCACTCGTGGTCACTCGTGAGTACTTTTAGACCCTATCTCGAGAAAAAGATAGACTCAAACTTTCCCTGCACTGATTGGCTCAGTGGGGGAAGCTGTATCTGAGATCCCAGTTGAATGCGTTTGTGGGCGGAGTTTGGTTGCAAAGCAAAAGATTTTTCTTACGCTGTTTTCTCGAATAATTTTTTTTGCTTGAAGCAGACACTTTAAAGAGTTTTAACTCAAAGGGAATTTGTTCAATTGCCCTCAAATTTGGACGGTAGCTAGTTTAACATATAAACTACGAAAATTGTCTGCGAATTGTTAATTTCGAAATATTTTATCTTCGAGAGCGATTTTTGTACGATCACTCTACATTATTTTAATCCTATTTCGAAAATGTTCTGTAACTTTTTACTGCAATTGAATATGGCAAAACGCAGACACGTTTTTTAAGCGCTTTGGGCCCTGAAACCGAAGAAAAAATGAAATTGGCGAAAAACAAAAATCGCTTTGACTTGTAGCTCTTGAAAGGTGATTCGGGCGCTCGCATTTAGTGGTCGTGAAAAATTCGACAATTCATTTTATTTCAAAATTCTTGGAATAGTTTGATAGCCAGCTCTATAAGCTTTAATTTGATATAGGGGTTTAGGTATCTACATCGCTTGCACGCGAGACACCCCTGAAGGTATACCGTAACCTTAAACCAATCAGCCTGTTCGTATGAATGGACCAATCAGCAAGGGTGTTAGTTCAACGTTGCCAAGGGTATTCTCCCGCCGTATCGGTAAAGATTGACGAAGGCAGAAGTCGGCGGAGACACATTACTGTTCTCTTGAGACATGGTTCGGCAGCTGAAAGACGTGCTGGGCGGAAAAGCGAGAGTTAGAAAAAAAAAACAGCGACGAAACGACTTGCTGTGATGACAACGCGCGAAAGCAGATCCTCGCGTGTGAGCGAGGCTACGCCGGGCCGAGGCTTACAATAGACCAATTTCGATCTATTAAAATTCAGCCTAACACAATAGACCTCAGCACGAGGCTCTGGGGAATTAACCCCACAAACTCTGTAGTTATTCCTCGGAGCCTCGTACTGAAGTCTACTGTTTTAGCCTGGAGTTTAATATATCGAAATTGGTCTATTCAATCGGTGTGGTGGAGATGGTGGACCGTTGTGGCATTCAGGTTGGATGGATAAGTGTCAATTCAGCGACCACGACGAGTGACTTCAGAGGGTTTTTAAAGGCAGTAGATGTATGGATAGAAAGACCGCAGGTTGTGAATCGTCGACTCATGGGTGCGCTTATCGTTCAGAGGACTTCAGTTGAATATTTGACCAGTAAAGATCTTGAGAGATCAGTGAAATTGCTGTTTGATGATCAAGGCAAATATCTATTTCAAGGAAATGGTAATAAGGAACTTGAGACAACAAAACATGACGACATCTCTGTGATCACCAAATCTGATGCTGAAGAAGCTAATGCACTCGAAAGCTGTGGAAAGGAAAACCAATCAGGTGCACGTGTATGTGAGGAAGACAGAAGTACTGTTATTGTTCGTAAGTTACTGCCCAAACAAATAGACAGAAAAGATGCCATTTTCGAATTGGTGATTCTAGGTAAGTGTATTTAATATATAGATTTAGCCAAGCCTAAAAGCCAAGCTCCTGGGCCAGGTTGTTGAAGGCCCGATCAAGCTAACCCAGGATAAGTGAGAATTTTTTGAGTTTTGTAATTTTGTGGTGAGGCTTTCTGTTTATATTGTTTTGCTTCTGTTTGAGTTTCAATAATCTCAAACTGCACAAAACAAAAGCAGCTAAAAACATTTGAATACCTTCCGAACAACTGTGGCCCTGATTAAGAAGTTAACCTGGCATGAGCCTGCGATCCAATCGAAAATCAGTACTTGGTCAGCAGTCAACTTGAAAAACTCACATGACCTTGATGAGCTCTAAACCTGAGTCTACGGTATGTTCACATGATACTGGTCAGCAGATATCTTGTTTTGACAGCTGTCAATGGGACCATAACATGGATGTCCAATATCAAATATGTACGATGTAAACCAAGGCTGTATGCCTCAGTCGACCTATTAGCTGGAGTATGGCTGTCATGTTGCACGATGTTGATGTAGTCATTGGGGGCATGTGCCCGCATTCCATGCCACTAGCGATGTTGACCATGAAAAAAGAGTTGCATGGTTTTTTATTTCTATGCATACATGTGGTTCTGTCCTATAGTATGGTGGTCCAGCATTCTCATATGAAAATCACATGAATATACATAATATTTGTCAGAAAACTGGATGACAAAATAAAAACTGGTGAGACAATCTCAGATAGTGCAGAATGCAATTTATGGCTCTGATACAGTAGTCACATAGGTCCTTACCCATGTTGTTCTCTCCCTTAGTAGTCAACTAATATGAGCGTACAAAAACTTGATAAGACGTAATCTTAGCATTGTGTAAGTTTCATGTTTGTATTTTCTTTCATAAGTGCCATGGAGTCTGCAGCAATAATAATGAAGTTTCTTTTGTCACAAATTTAGTAGTTTTACATGTAACAAATGTGGGAAAGTTTCGGCTGAATATGAACTTTGGGCTCTCTTTCATAAAAGTAGAAACAAACAAGCTGCTAAGGAGAAGCAATACGTTCCCATTCTCTATTTCAACCCTGACAAACACAATAGTTATAAAAAAGCAGGTGACATTTCTTGAATCGAGCTAGGGAAGATTTGGGAAGATACGCAGTCACAGTAGTGTTCTTTGCACGAAAAAAGGAGAACTGATGTTACCTGAAATATAACTGCTATCCCCAGCCAAAACGAGAGTGTGATATCACTCATTACAAAAAAATTAAGAAAAACTGTGCATCTGAACTCAAGAACGGAGTTTATCACACTAGCAATGCTAGAACGCATGCATCTTACATGTTATGTTCTACCACAAGGGATGGCACTCAACGTTTGTCGGTAGTCCCGTATGAAATGTATCTTTCACCTAACATATAGTTGACTTTGACGCTAACTAATCTGCACATGCGTCTGGAGCAAATTGCATTTGTTCTTGAGAGAATGGCACCACAAGTATAGCATGAGATTTGAACTAGTGAGACAATCTCAGATAGTGCAGAGGGCAATTGATAGCTCTGGCACGGTAGTCCCATAAGTACTCACCCCTGCTCGGTTCACTTCCAGTTTGTGTCTACCATGGTAGTCTGCTAGGGCTTTTCCCCTTTGCAGTGTGTATGTCTCAAGGTTGTATTTTCATTCAAGGTCCAAAAATTACGCACAAATTAATTACTACTAGTGGTTTACGTTGATTTTCATTCATTTTAAATTCAATAATACGTTGAAGCAGCAAACATGACAATTTAGCTCTTTACGCCAACTTTGTAACTTGATACTTTTGTTTTCCTCGCAAAGGCATGTAATATGAAACCCTT